AAAAACCGAAAATTGAAAAAAGAAATTTGAATGGACACCCTGTAAGCAACAGCGGAGAAAACATCAGCACAAACCATTCCAAATCAAATTATCGCGCCCGGGACACAAAACTATTCAAATGCGAGCACCGAAAAACTCCACGCCAGCACAAAGACAGTCCGAGCTAAACAAAAAAAAACAAATAAACTTTCTCGAACGATTCTCAAAGCGAACTTTCTTTAAATTGATATTTTTTTTTAGAAAGCAAACTTCAATCATTTTTCAAGATTCTGATCCAATTTTTTCTAAAATTGGAATGAAATCAAGTTTTTAATATTAAGGAGACTTACGTAGATTGATGCTTAGATGATACAAATTATGCCGATTTTTCGGTGAAAATACACATTGAAATTGGAGAAAAATGGGCGCTACATTAGGTGTAGTCCCATTTTTCAATTGCAATCTGTATTTTCACCGGGGAACGTAAATTTTTGATTGGAAATTTTAAAGGAAATTGAAAATTATGATTCATTACTCGAGCTTTGATTTTGTTTTGACGACCGAAACACCCTTTCCAAAATCTAAACTAATACGCTAAATTTGCTGTGTAATTCAATTCTGAAAAGTTACTCGAATGAAAACGGTACGAGATAGATAAAATGTTTTTTTTTCACCAAAGTTGCTTGCAATTAATTTAGCAACAATTTTGTTTAGATTATTTGCCTTTATTTAAAAAATAAGAAAGTTAATTTTAATAGAATTTAAATTAAGGACCACAGCGTTAGGAATTAACCTGGTCGACTCACCACAAATAGGAACACTTGGCGTGCAAGCCAAGTGCAACAGGTGGGAATCTGTGGTGTCTGGGCTGAAATGTCTCCGTATTTTTTGCTTTTAGCTACAGTTTATAGCAAGGTTGCAGATATTCGCAACGAATCATGCATCGCGTTGTCTGCTACTCATCACTTGCGATTTGATGCTATCACAGTAAACGTTGCGCTAGTTATGCACGAATACAGTGCTGCACGAATGGTTCGTTTTTTCCGGTTTTTTGCTCCCTCTCCTCTTCGCTATCATTCGCTGAGTTACTACATTTTGCCATGACGAATTCATCACTCACCAGCTGCTTACTTCTGCTCGAAAACTTGGGTGATGCATTCGACAGCAATTCGATTCGCAGCCGAATAATATTCACAATGAATGCTTCACAGCTAAGCGTAAGCTACAGAAACTGAAGAGAAAAGCAACAATCAATGGTAATGTCGTTTTCTCAATGTGGCACTTCACTTTTTTCAAAAATTCACGGTTATCATTCCCACACAGCATTCATTCAGCAACACCGCGAATATTCATCGCATCGTTTTGCATCGCACGCAACTACATTCGTATCCGATCACATCAAATCATACGGACGATGCGAATTGAACGAGACTTTTTTAAGGAGGACAGCAAGAACAGCAGGAATAATCCTCGCTCACTGGTCACTCACAGAGACTCGAATCAAATCATCGTTTGCATCGCTCGAAAATGCTTGCTTTGCTTCGTTCTTTCGAACGCGTTCGGAGAAGAAGAGTGATTTCGAGCCGTACGATGTGAAGATCAGTTACCCTGGTTCATAGTTTTGTGTACGAAAATAAATTTCAAACAATTTGGGGTGTTTAATATTCGCGAAAGTTTAAGTTGAAGCTTCCGGACTTCAATGTACGTGATTCATAACTCATGATCCAATCATCGTAGAATGAATGTTATTTAAAAATTTAAAGAAGTTATCTCAGCAATCCATAAAGAATATAATCAGAAAAATTATATCCACGAATATTTTCACTCAACGGCGCCGGTGGTGTAGTGGTAAGCGTGATTACCTCTCACCCCAGCAGGCCTGGGTTCAATACCAGTCGGCGCCGCCGGGATGTTCTGAGGCATAACATCTCTGATCACGCCTTCCTTCGGATGGGAAGTAAAGCCGTTGGTCCCCGGTTCATGAGTTGATGGGTCGATAGGTAAGGTCCAGGTGTGGGAGCTGCCTTCCTTGCACGTCGGTAGCATTGGTGCTCAGCACGGAAAACAAGATCGACGGAAAAAACAAACCAAAGGGAATATTTTCACAGTATAGGAAAATAACAAGAACAATGAGGAAAATCCATAGTCAGGGTGATGAAAATTTGTCAAATGATTTTTGTCATGGAAGTAAACTTCTTACCGTTCAATGGTGAAAATTTCAGAGTGGTGTTTTTCACTGACCATTAGTTTTTCGGTAATCACTGAAAAACTTCATCAACTTTTAGGCAAATTACCTTCTGCCAAAATTTTGCAGACAAAATTTGCCGCATTATTTCAGCACCTCTCTGGATAAACGGAAGCAGAGTATTCCGGGAGATTTTCAGACCGCACAGGGGCTCCAAAATCAAATTGGCACCATCCCATTATGGATACCTTAAAGGAAGGTTCTGCTCCGTTACAATTTGCAACGTACCCAGGAGCACATCACCCCTAGTCTAGGCGAGTAATCTCGACCCCTAGTGGTGTCCGCGTCACTTATATTCCTTTTTAAATTTCCATGATTCGTCTTGCTCTAATCGGCAACTCGTAGCACTCTCCGCGAGTATTAAACTGACTCACCGTGAACGTTCATTGAGGTCTGTACTCTTATCCGATCACACGAATTCTCTTCGCACACAGGTCACTCACGAAGACTCACGTTAATGGCATCGTTCAGTTCGTTCAGGAATGTATGTTTTGCTTTCGTTATTCCAAACGCGTTCGGAGCAGTGAAGCCACATTTTTTCGAAGTTCAATCTGTATTTGCATCACAAAAAATCTGACAAAAATCTGTAAAAAGAAATCTGCATAATTTCTATATTATGGTCTCAGTGCGGATTTACGTAAATCTCGCACAACACGAGAAAAGGGCCTATCATTGTTGATCGATTCTCTTCATCGATTCTCTCTTTCGCGAATAACCCGACTGCAAATGAATTCGAAAAATGAAATCCCATCTCCCATCTCTCCAGATATTAGATTGAACAACAAACCCATATCCATCGCAAGAGTTCCTCAAATCCTCATCTGCAACCCCATCGCAAACCGAAAAACAAAAAGAATCTTTTTCCCCTCATCGTTTCCCGGGGCAACACACTCACCGGACCCGACTCTAACTAATTGGATCATAAAACTTGTACGGGCAACAAAACCGCAATTTTGTATAAATTTCCCCCCGCGCTCCGACCCGAGAGGCGACCGACATCCATCAATCCGCAGTGATATTCTTAACTTTATTACAACTTCAGTCATGCTCGCACTACTGCTGCAGCATAGATGGGGTGACCCCTCGCGAGAGGTCCTTCTTCAGTGTTATTCCAGCATTAATAAAAATTTAAGCAATACAAAAAAATAATAAGGCTCACTCTCCAGGCAGCACCCAGTCAAGAATCGACCGAGAAGAAGCTGGGTAATAACAATACTGGAAAGCCATAATATTATAACAAATTACGATTCGTCTCTTCGAGAACCCGAAACCTTTTGTCCCCCTCCCCACCCCCCCGGATCAGTTCGGAAAGGGGTGTCTGCATAGTTTGGACTTATGCTCCGGCTCTGACTGACTGCCTGACTGCTTCTGCTCTTTCCAGAAGAGGTCCATGCTGCGCGCAAAAGCATACAATAAAAATCATAATATAATTTACGATCACTCTCGGGTTAGGCTTTCGACGACGACGACGAACTGCACTGACGTTGACGCCAACCAAACCCCCTGAACCTGCGGAGAGATAGAGGATGTTCGTTTCGTCGAATTATCCTCGGTCACGGATGACTTCGCGTTGGCACGTTTGCAGTTCCGGAGAGCCAGTAGGTATTCTGGTTTCGCGGTCTCGGCGGCCACAAAACGGGATGGGGTTTCTCGAATTGCAGATTCGTTATTTCCTTTTTAACAAACGGCTGATGAGAGAGCGTCATAAAAGGCAATAAAAGTTTTAAGTTGAAGGATGGTGTATGCATAGTTATATTTTTTTTTCAAGCTGTTTCGTATTGAACAATTGGACAAACGAGGCGAGAAGATGGTTGGGCTGGGAAAATGATATTCTAAGTACAGTTTTGGTGGAGTTGGCTGGACGTTTTTTTTTTTTCAGTCACTCTAATGAAGAGCGCGAAAAAAAAAATTAGTCAACCAATTGCTCTGTTTATGATTGGCCATCCAAGAAACAATTCCAAACCAACCAAGTTGCACAAGCTTCATAACTGCCATTCAGCGCCCACACATGTAAAGGGCACATAAACCATTGAGTAGCATTACTTTTTCCAACTGTGTTGTTCACCATGTTATGTTTGCTATTATTTCAGCCTGATGCTTTTTCAACCGAACACAAACGCATCCAATCGTGGCACACGTCTCCAGCGAAGTGAAAAAATCTCCATTCTAAAACCCATAAAATAAGCCACTCTCCTCCCACAACCAACACACACCTGGCCGAGAGCTGGCTTGACACACAAACTAATGGCTGGCTGTGGGCTTCCCTCTCGTCTATTAATAATGGCCATGGGAGTGAAGAAAAAAAAGCACCTCTCACCAGCCCAGCCAGAGCCGAGTCGAGTCGAGTCGGCATAATTGATCAAAAAGCTAGAAATTAAAACCTGGTAATTAATATTTCTCGCTCTGATGGTGGCCACACGGTAGCCGTAGGTGAGTGAATGTGTTCTACTTTTTCTATGCATTCCGACATTTGTCGGTAGGAAATGTTTCTGTCTCGTTCACACCTTGGCCGCATAAATAGTCAGGGTCGGGATTGGCTTAAGCTCGGTTGGCTCAAGTTGGGATTTTCATGGCGGCTTACGGCAATCTCCTCCCCCTGAGATTGTGATGCCGATCAAAATGAAGGCATTGTTGTTCTTAGATATTCAAATAAAAGTTGTTCAATATTAATAACCGGGAATTTGGTTAGGTTTTAAATGGTACAATCGAGAAAAAGTCGGGTATTCCAAAATGAAAATCCAATTAACTAATTATATTTTTCTCGCTTCCATTTCAGGTAATCTCCGATCTGCTGTTTCAAAGATTATTTGTGAGTATTTGGTAACGACTTATATGCCCAACAACCCAATTTCGCTAGGTCAATTAAGGCTCATTCATAAACCATCCGCTAGATAAGTCTGCCTATTTCAAACGGCCAAACCAAGATTGAGGCACTATCCGCGCCCAGCCCGAACGCATCGCAATGTATGACTTTCCCAGGACACAAAACACTGAGTTGTAATCCGTCGAACGCCAAATGTGGCAGGTCAAAAGTGCAAACATCAAACCAAGTCCGCCCCATTCGCTAGCTTTCAATATGATCTCCGACCCATCATGTGGCACTTTTTTTTCCGAAAGCACGTCCCATTGTCATTGCCGTTAGTTAGATTACCGGCTGGATGTTTGTTGTGCACACAGCAAACGAGCTTCTGCGGTTTGAGATGATGGCACGAACCGAGGGAGGTGTTCATCTGGGTGCTGCTATTTTCGGAAGATCCCGGACAACTTCCTACCCGAAGAGAAGTGCTCGAATTATCTGCTAATGTTCACGATTAAGAAAAACTTGTCTTCACCTCACCCGTAGGTAGTAATTAGAGTAAGTTGTTTGGTGATACGCTCTCAATGCATGCGAATGGGTTATTAAAGCAAACATGACACCACCAAGAGCGGCACTCTAAGCGGCTGTGGTGACCTTTTCTTTGTGTCTGGTCTCAATGTAATTGTTTTATCTGGCCAAAGCTATCGCGCCATAATGGTAACCTTCAGAACAGTCTTAATGGTTTATGATAATTTCGGGAGGGCTGGCTGCGGTTGGTTATCTGAAAATGCAACGTGTAAATATATTGAGCAGAACATCTCAATTGTTATGCATCGTACATTAACCGTTGCAAATGTGAGTTGTTTCAATACTTTTTGCACACCATTGTCACCTGCAGTCTTGTAAGCGGTCACAGTAGTTGATTCATTTTCTATGATAATCGACTGCCTTCCTAAACGTGCAAAACAAGGTAGCAAATTAGAGTACCAAAATAAAATGTCATATGACACCGAAGACCGTCACGAATGTATGTATTTTAGTTTTTCTCATAATAAGAGCTGCTGATGTTGTGCTTGTGTGAATTCTGAAAAAGTAAGCAACGATATTCTAGTAATAACACTTCTGATCAGAAATGGTTTAATTTACACCAAATTGAGGAATTAGAACGAAATCACACATGTCATGTGATAGTTATTTGATAATTTTCTTTTTGCTCGAATGTTGTTCTACCGTTTGGTCCTGTGTAAGAGAGACGACGGTAGAGTATGAGAGTACGAATAAAAACATACTGTCACTCACGACAACGAAGCGAGTGTAGTAAAAAACGTCAACTGTTTCAACCCCTGGTCACCTGTCTTTTTTTTTTTTTTCCTTTGGTTTGTTTTTTCCGTCGATCTTGTTTTCCGTGCTGAGCACCAATGCTACCGACGTGCCAGGAAGGCAGCTCCCACACCTGGACCCTACCTATCGACCCATCAACTCATGAACCGGGGACCAACGGCTTTACTTCCCATCCGAAGGAAGGCGTGATCAGAGATGTTATGCCTCAGAACATCCCGGCGGCGCCGACTGGGATTGAACCCAGGCCTGCTGGGGTGAGAGGTAATCACGCTTACCACTACACCACCGGCGCCGTTGGTCACCTGTCATCTCATCTTATAGGCATATATTGTTTTTTTTTTTTTCTTGTTGGGTATATTCATCACTGCGACCATTACTTTGATCTATTGTGATATTCCCCGTTTTATATTGCTTTATCAGTTATGTCGTATCACTATTTTGTGAAGCGACCGACATAGGCTGACCAAAAGCATTTTCCTAACCAGGTTTTACATTTCGAATGAAATGTACTACTTGACTGGGATCTGCGTTCCAAATATCAAAGGGTTCTGCCAGCCCCTTATCCAGAAAAATACGCCTTTTATTGAAGATTGCTGCACAAGAGCATAGCAGCTGTTCAGAGTGTTTGTTTTCTATGCAACAGAATCGACACATATCTTCTTGAAGTTTACCTATTAACTTCAAATGATATTTACATGGACAAGGTCCTGTTATCAAACCAGTTAAGACACTGAGATGTTTCTTTGATAATTCAAAAAAATTGCTAGTCATTGAAATGTTCGGAATTATGAACCGTTTCGACTGCCTAACAATAGAAGTGTTGTTCCAGTTGGACTCCACTTTCATTTTTTTTCTCCATTTCTTGATCTCCATTTTAAGAAAACAAGCAGAAACTTCACAGAATGGTTCTGGTCCTATGAATTGCTGAGATGATCCAGTGGTCAGGAACCCAATATAGGTTTACTTGGCTTTGACAGGCCAATTTCTGAAGTTACATGGCACATTCCCATACGAGTTTTGATTTGCATGTTGCTGATTTTAATAAATGCATTACTGCTTGAGACTATCAGACATTATGCAGATATTCGAATGTTTATAATTTCTGCGCAAGCATATTACAGAGCATTCAAGAATTTGTTTGAATTTCTGCTTGGAACACGGTTGGCCAGTAACCCATAGATATTAAGATATCTCAATATCAACAATTGAAATGGCCTTAACTCCATTTTGTAAACAAACCTTGTAAGGTCATTTTCTCGCGAACCGAAATCCGCAAAGGAAATCCAACATAATGAACAGGTAGGGGAAATTCTCCTCTACCCGATTGTGGTTTAGGTTTGCGAATGAAAGTTTCAGTTCGCGAGAAAATGGCCTTACAAGGTTTGTTAATAAAATGGAGTTAAGGCCATTTCAATTGTTGGTCTTGATCTATCCCTGGACCAGTTACCCCTGCTCCCACACAATTGTTCAATCTTGAACCGTCTGTATAAAAAACAGTTGAACCTGGACTAATGTTTGGTCCCCCACTTTCCCAAACATTACGATCAAATTCTGCTGCATTTTAGAAACGAACGATATTATATTTTTTTTTTCTCCATCCAGTCTTCATTTTTTAAATACTAAGGTGCAGTGTTGGCAAAATCATAAATCAAATGATATTTTTCCGCTCTCATACGCTCTCAGTATCACACGTGATATTGGAACAAAATATCATGCTTGATATTGATTTTACAAGCTCCATTGATATTGCGAGACTATTCACAACGTGCAAAAATCAAGCTGAGAGTTGACTCGACACAAAAATGATTCCGTTGCACATCGTTTTCTTAGAAAGAGAAAGTATAGTTTGCTATCTCTTTTCACTGTTCACCGAATGCAGACACGAAGTGACTGCTGCCAACCGTTATGGAAGTTTCGGTTGCGTTCGGGTGTAAATCAAAAATCATGAAACTCAATCTCATCACAGTTTGTTGAGATTTGAAGCTGGTGAGTTTTGTTAGCTTGATATTCTGAGGTGCAATGTCACAGCTTGCAAAATCAATTACAGTTGTTTGCTTTTTGATTTTTGTCTACGAAAATCAAGCGTGATCTTGGGCATTGGTGAGATTTGATTTTTTGATATTTTCGCAACACTGCTAAGGTGTACTGTAAGATCACCTTCAAGATACAAACTTAGAAATAACTAATTTTACACGTGACGTAATCCATCTTTGACATAAAGGATGAGACGTAAACAAACATGTCATGTAAAATTAAGTGCTCCGAGACTGAAAAGTTCGTTTCTCGACGAAAAGTACGTTTGATTGAGCTGAATTTCTCGTCTATTATTACTCAAATTTATGTCAAAATTGACGCTCGTATACGTCAGTCTCAGAGCATCTAAATTTACATGATTTTTTCTAAGTGTGTAGTACTTTATTCGTTGAACCCTTAAAGCGCTGCTTTCAGCTTCTAATTGGATAAATTGATGCAACGGAAGCAGATAAAGTAGAGCATCTAGTGACATACTCGGAGTGCTGTTCATTGCACCAGTTATTAAGAGAGTAGCAAGTCTTTGCAGTCTCCCCAGCTTCTTCTGAGCCGATTTTTCATTAGTTTTCGGCCACCAAACCAATGATGCGTAGGATATTCTGGGTCTTACAAACGTCAAATAAATCCAGTGGATCATTTTTGGTTTTGGGTCCAATATCCGATCAGCGGTTGAGGCCAGCCTTGATAGCTAGCTGCTTGCGGAAAGCCTTTCGTTGTGTACTGGAGAACACCACAACTCACCACGAGGTGATTGAATAAACACCATTTGGTGAGACCGGATGGAATTCAACTTTGAAATCTGTGTTAGGGAAATCGCTTTTCGCAGGCAATCGGTGATCATTTTAACTATCATAGCAACAGTTGCACATTCGTGCATTTTTCAATTGCTACATTTTGAAAAAAGGATAAAGTCTCACATTTAACCAGATACGTAGAAATATTTCTGATCGATTGGTGTTAACATTATTGAAATTGGTTCAGGGGCAGCTGAGTTATTAACGTTCAAAATCTTTCATAATTTTGTTACATGTTCCATTTTCGGTTTTCACAAAGTGACCCCCATATAGAAATCACAGACGTAGTCCTACGTCAAAAGGTACCCTGAACCTTGGAATCTTTTCAAGGATATTGTTCTGTGTATGATTTTCATAAGTCTATCAAATTTGGCTGAAAATCCCAAAAGAAATTCAAAGGAATGTTGAGTAACTTCTGAAGAAGTTATGTAAATATTTCTAGTATTATCAAGGTTAACTACCAAGCTTTAAACAAATTTTGAAGATTTCGTTTGCAAAAACCAATTCAAGCTTTGCTGAATTTGAAAATGCTGCTGTTTTAGTAATGATCTATTTAACCTAACTGGGAAAACCCACTGGCAAAAAGCGATTATACTCTCGTTATATACCTTCGTTTTACAAAGTGTCAAAAGCATAATCCTCGCTCAATTGGTTATTTTTTCGCTCTCAAGGGCTCTCAATATCATGCGTGATATTGTAATAAAATATCAAGCATGATATGGATGTGTGCCACGCGATCGTCTGTTTTCTCGGCAGCAACCATTGTGTGGTCAGCGGCGCCGGTGGTGTAGCGGTAAGCGTGATTACCTCTCACCATAGCAGGCCTGGGTTCAATCCCAGTCGGCG